TTGATCAAAGTCTGCTGCTGCCGCTACCCAGAGCTTCCTCTTCCTACATAACAGTATTTGGACTCAACATGGAAACACTCCATTTCTCAATCATAATTTTCCAAGCTCTCGATCATACGCGAGATGTTTTACCTTTACTCTCTCCCCTTCCCCTTTCATCTAAAATTAATATTCTGAATAGAAGGTCTCCAGTTGTGCAAGAGCAAGCTTACTTAATGTAACAAATTCAAGACACTGTGTTATCCTGTTCTGTGGCCCCAACTATAAAATATCTCTCTTTTCCGGGGAAATATCTCTAGATCACCTGTGCAATTTTTCTTTTTCTTAATTCCTGAATAGGAGGTCCCCGTACCAATTCAAGAAGAGCTCTGACACCTCCAACATCTGCCCTGCGTCATTCCTTCCCACCTTGCAGGTGTAGAAAAGGCCTTACTACACAGCTCTTTAAACAAATTTGTCAAACTTTGTCTTGGAAAGCATCAGCTGTTCAATCCTCCTTATTATGGTAGATTCTTTGAGAGATACTACAGTTGGAATAAAAAAGACTGCTGAAATAACATTTTTCTGTTTACGGCACCAGTCAGGACAGTATCCTGAGAGTAATATCAAAAGCCAGTATTCAGTATTGCAGTGGTGCATGGTATGTCACCGTGTTACTAAGACATCACCTACCTTTCAGATCTGAACAAACCTATACAGATACCTGGATTATAAGAACGTATAAAACAGGCAGACATTGTACCTCCAGGTAAACAAAAAGATCTCTGTGGCCAAGTTTTGAACAAAACAGATAGTAACATGAATTGGCAGTTAGACGTGGTCCCAAAAAACCCCGTAACTTATAAAGATGACATGGAAATGTAAGCCTCATGAGCAAAAGCTTGTTGTAGCCTTTGTAGTTCTCCAAACAGAAACTTCTACAGAAGGGATACGATGGACTGTAGCAAATTCTTCAGACTTCAGAAGTACTCATAAAGTTGGAAAAGACAGTGAACTTGTGATCTAAACAGGCAGGAGATTCACAAACAATTTTAAATACCTGCCTATTTTCCTGAGCTTACAAGTTCAATTTCGTTATACTGAATCCTGTCCCCTGCCTTTTACCCAAAGCTCTGTGGCTGTATAAATGCCCTGCAAACAAAGGAAAGAGAACTGCACATATAAAAAGGATGTACCACAGAATGAAAAGAAACCCTTGTTAAAAAAAGAGAAGCACCAAATAAAACAACAGGAATAGTCTTTCTCCCCCATGCCCAATAACATGGGGGGAATCACTGCAAAAAAAATTGTTGCCTATGTATTACTTGTGAAAAACATGTTCTTCCAAAGCTAGTAATTTATTTTTTTGTAGAGTGCACCAACTGTTATTCAACCTCTTCACTACCCACTTGTTTGTCTTTTTTCCCCATTATAAAAGGCATTTAGATTTTTTTAAAATGTACTCATCTGTAAACTGCATGTCAAATTGATTAAGTGACCCAAATAACTTACAAAAATAGATTTGCTATCCAGCAGAGCAAGCAAGAGGTCTGGAACCTGCAATCAACCCTCCCCCTAAATGACTATCCACCTAGCAAAGGTCTTTTTTCTATGTAATGCTTTCCCCATACTCTTAACAAAATGTTTGTTATCTTAACTACTATAAAATTTCAAAGATTGAAGATACTGTAAATGCATTTTTTTTTTTTACCCATCGATACTGATTAGATATTTAAAATAATACACATTCTTAGAGGACAAGTAACACCTACACTTGTAGGCAAGTGATGGGGGTCATTTTTGGGGCCGTCTTCTAATGAGAATAAAACAATGTTACCTTTCATGGTTGACAGATAATACGTGGACCGACAAGGAATGACCAAGATCAGCTGTCAGAACTAGGCTTCACTGAACATACTTTTTGCTTTAATAATCTTTCATGTTACCGTACTTTGGATAATCATTTCAGATTATTTAAGGCACTAAATACCACCCAACATTTCTGTACTCAGTGATGAAATGTGGTTTTACACAACTTAAGAACCAGCTGTAAATTAGAAGAGGCTTGCCATTTCAAAACTTTGAAGCTCACTTCACGTCTGATACGCCGTGGCTTTCCAACTTGTTTACTTGGCAAATGGTATTGATAAACACTGTTGAAAAGATCAAAATTGTAGGGTCCATAGATACTGAAAGGAGTGCAAAACTTTTTGCTTCAACAAGCCATTTGTATAGCACTCAACATCCAAGCAGCTACCCCCACCACTTCTGATGGCGATCACCTCCCTTTTTCCTTTGGAATTACATAAAACCTCTCTCCCCCCAAGCCTCTCACAACAGCTTGCGATGCCAGACATGCACAAATTCCAGACTCATGTCTACTGCATGTGGCTTAGCCTATGAACTGTACAGAATTACTCAGACCTGATGCTCACACTGCGAGCCTGACGTATCACATGTATTTTCAGACCTAAAAACTCCAGAGGGCAATATCCTAATTTGTTGAATCATTCAAAAACTCTGAAAGTTTTACTGAATTACGGTCAAAAAAAGAAGAAAAAAAAATCTGTATGAAAAAGACTGAAGTTGCAGAATCAAGCACTACAAATCTAGGAAATACAATTCAAGAGTTGTCCACCCAGGTACATGGACTGCCTTAAATTATGTAAGTCATTCACTTGCTCTTTGTTATGGGGGTTGTGTTTTCTGTTTTGTTTTTTAGGAATTCATACCTCAATCAATGCCCACAATGAACAATTTTGAGAATACCATCTAATTGTTTTTCCATTCTTCTGATTAGCATATTCCCCAATGCCTTATTTAAAGATCTTTAATCAAATGCAGCACTTGAGAATGAATAATTGCTTTGTGGGATTGTCTGAGGTACTTTTCACTATGAAGGGAAAAATAAAATCAAAGCACTCCACTAATTTTGCTTAATTTTTGTAAACCCTCTGTGAAATGAATGATACCAACCTCTTTCAAGCAATAGAAAGTTGAGGTAGAGACCAAAGTAAAATGTATCCAGTGGTTTCAAGTACTCAGTCTAAAGTTGCTTGGTTTTTTGCTTTTTTTTTTCCTCCCCAGATAACTTAAATTATATAATAGTTTGCATGTTCCAGACAGTTCACACTGACTTTAGTCACAGTCACATGCACGGGAAACGTTACAAATCAAACATCCAGCTCCTAAAGCCTGACACCCAGTAATGTGGGAATAAACAATTAGCAGCTGCTTCTTATCAGCTGGGGTTTAGATGGCATGCCGTAACATCCCACAGGAAGGCTGTGACAGAGGCAGGGACAGAAGTCACTCCTAAGGCTGCATTCAACCCTGCAAATCATGCTCATTCTAGGAACGGCCTTCTCCTCTTCTTCAGCCTCCATGATTAATATAATTAATTAAAGCTTTTTATCTCAAAGCAACATATCGAACAGAAACTAAAGTAACTTTACAATGCTCTGCCCCATTTTCCCCCAAAAAACATTAAAGGAAAAAAAGCAATCAGGTTATGTCTACTGGTTTGATTAATAAAAGTAACCTCTTAAAGACAAAAAACAGCTCTGCCTCTCCCTGAGGAGTCTGACAGGCTCAGTGTTCTTCATATAACATATATTGCCCAGTACAATCTGCCACTCCTAATAAAATTCTCTGCATTCAAAGGTGAAGTCCCCTAGCTCCAAAGGAAATTGGATTTATCAATCCTGTGAGTGTTGTTAAAAAAAAAAAATCCTGTTGACATTTCCATGATTTCACCCCCTAGACAAAGGAAGAAATGTTTCAGTGATACTTAACTACATTTTCCAATTTTATCATCAGAACAACTGCAAACTTTTTCTATCCAAATTGTTATAGGACACAAGAGGATGAAAAAGTATTCCAACTATACAGCTCAATCCTTCAGACTTCCCCTCCCAATCGCCCTGCATTCAGGAAGTTCCTGCTGTGCACGCTCCTAATGTAAGAAATGCAAACTCTCCCCCCTTTTAACCAAGCACATTTATACAGTGTCTGAAAAAAACTGGGAAAAATGGTAATGTGATAGCTGGCATGGACAGGATAATTGAAAAATTTGTGGTTATATTTATGAAAAACTCTCCAAACTCAGAAATCTGTGTTTTGGTAAACAAGTTTTCCCCAACACCACTTTCCTGCTAATCTTGTTACTTGCAATGACAAACTTTTTGAAATGCATCTTTTCCCCCAGCATGTGATGAAACACCTTCTAATGAACTGTTTTTCTGGTGGTTTTTTTTTTAACTCACATTGCTTTCTGTTCACAGGCTGCAAACTCAAGTAGTTTCAAATGAAGCAAGCAAGCATTTTCTCTAATAACAAACTACTCTTGTGAGCCTGGGGAGCTTATGAAGCCAAAGGACTGCAGCACACAAAAGCCTTAAAAACTTTCAAAAACTTATCAGTTTTTTGTTGCACCCTTCAGGGGGACATTCTTTCATGCATCTGAACAAACAAAGTAAGATTCAGAGCTGCTCTGGGAAAAAGGGATGAATGTGCCACTGCTACTCTGGAAAACTCAGTTAAGTAAAATACAGAAGTCCAAATAGCCAGTTCCTGTGCCAGGGCATACGAATGCATGTATTTACCTTTTCCACCGCTGAGCCTGAAGTTGTCATGATTTCTTACTGCAGGGTTTCTCAGGAGCCACTAATATTGCATGCTGGAGATTCTCTTCCCTCCCCCCTTTCAGCACACGACAGGTATAGATTTTCCTATCATTGCAGCTCGATCTAACATGATACATAACTCCGTTCACCAAGACATAATTTGCTTAAAGCTCTTCCCTGTCTTCAGCCACATTTTCACTTAACGCTGAGAATTGCTCACCGCTTATTTTGGAATAGACAGTGTGGCTGCAGGTTGCTAAAAGCATTGTGTTTTATCTAATTAAAAACTAGAAACCAAAACAGCACAAGAACACTGAAGTGCCTGTTTGCACAGTACCCCCCATTACCCAAAACTAGCGCTGCTGACGACGAGACTTCGTTTCCATCATTTCTTACCTTTGTGGTTAAAAATCCCCTCCATCTCCATACTACTGCGAGAGTGAGCAATGCAGAGAGACCCGCAGGGGACCAGGCCTTCTGCAGCTGGGGACCGATCTGTGGTTCGAACCAGACACCAGTCAGGCTTGTCATGGGGCCTCTCCAGGACCTCCACCGTTTGCCCACGGCGGATTGTCAGCTCATTACTGTTGCAGGCGGTGAAGTCGTGGATTACCACCGTCAGCTCGCACCCACCAGACAACTGTGAGGGGAAAAACAAGAAGGAGAAGCCAGATGAATGCTCGTTATCAAACCATCCGTCATGCACCGTTACCTATTTAGGATTCCTGGCAGGATTCGTATTTTGGATGAGATAGCAAGCTTCTGGGACTTTCCACGTCAAGAAGAGATCATTTCAAAATCAGGCAGTTCTGGCGTTTTAGAACAGATTTTTAACTCTGCTTGTCTCTGCCTATGTTCAAAGCACACCGGTTGTGACAGTGCTGGGCGGAGGATTTAAGCGGTTTTTCTTGCTAGACTGCTCCTTACCCCGAAAGCTGAAGTAGCAGTCACTTCAGAATATATTTTATGGGTGATAATTGGCAACAAAAAGCCAGATATTACTAAATACAGTCACTCATGACCTTTGTTATCTTCCAAATTCAAGGCAGAAAGAGGGACCTTTTTTGAATGAGCTTACTGCCTCATTCCCACCCCACTCACAGTTTACTCCCTACATACACAGGTCACAAAATCATCCAGGATACACCATACATAATTATAAAAATCAGCATAAAGTTCTTCACATAAGTTTCCCAAATACTTAACTATTTGATAAAAAATCCAAACGGGCTTACAACTTTCATATTTTTGCTGATTCCCCAAATAAAACTGCACAAACTTGAATTAAAAGCATGCAAGCTCAGGGTTTTCCTCTCCCGCTTCAAAACACTTCATTAGAATTACTTTGCCTAAGCTTAAGTTTCCTCTCTTTGATCGTTTCATCTGCTTTGATGTGAAATGAAAACTATTATCAGAACTTTGCAAAGTTCTCAAGATTGCTCAGCGCCAGAGCACCCATCCAACTTAAGCAAGCAGCCTGGGAATTCCTTCTTCCATACAGCAATGGTGTTCCAGGCTACTTCAGCTTTTTGTGTGTGAATATTTCTATAGCTCAGGCTGCTTCAGTGCAACATTCATATCAGATCCCAGCTGGTAGGCAACTTCAGTGAATTCAGTAATTTTGGACCAAGCCGGTAAACTCCTTCAACGTAGCAAGGTAATCCTGCAATGCTCTATGCTGACAAAAAAGGACAAATATCCTGTGAGAGTTCCAACTACAGCAAATACAGAAGCACGTGCTACACCAACATACTGCACGGTTCCTGCCACGTTATTTTTGACTACTACGTTTAGGCTCTTATATGGCTGCCAGCTACATCCCATGAGCTTTAGGAAAAGGAGATAAGAGACTGCATTGATACTTATTTATTAGTTTTCATTACAAGCCTGGAACTGAAGCACCAGATAGAAACTTTTCTAGGATAACACTGTTATCAAGCAAGAATTTTAGAGCAAATGACAAAACCAGCAAAACACTCAAAGGTTATTTCCAACCTTCTCTTCCTCAAGCCTGCAACAAATGACAGGACATAACTCCTAGCAGATGGTCTGCAGTAACTCCAGAGCTTTCCCATGGTCTCTGCCTGCTAATCTCACCGGCTACCCTTGCTTGTGTGTGCACACAAAGAAGAAAAAAGTTTTCTTGGGGGGATGCAGGGGCCAAGAAGGGCAGAAAAGCCTCATACATCTAGTGCTAAAGGAAGATAAATCAGGTTGCACCCATTTAGATCCAGGCTAAAAATTAATCACATTGCTTCTACTACATCTTTCCAGACAGCCCCAATACCCAAATTACAGGGGGGGGTTACCTCTTCAAAACATGCTACCTCCTCCTTCATTAAAAAGTTTCCTGTTCCCTTACGCTCTTTCTCCATACTATATTAGTTTTCAGTCCATGCAAAACTATGCCAAAGGGGAAAAAGTAAAGAGCTTTCCCTTGTTTTCTGGTATTGATTTATGTTACAGCCTTCTTCAGACAAACTCAGAAACAATTGAAACCATCTGTATGCCTGATGGGGACTAACAAAAAAGCTGATTAAGTATGACTTCACAAGGTGTCCAATGCAGACCAAATTTTTCTCAGGACAGTCCATATCCATCCCCAGTCAGTGCAAGCATCGAGACAGTAACAAGTTGACGCTTTCCAGAAACTGCATCTAGTCTTTGTATTTTCTCCTAAATACCTACAGGAGCATAGCTTTGGTGCTCTGCTTGCTTTCCTGACCCTTCACTTCCTACAAATAGAGATTAAAATATACTTTGTGACCGGTGCAACGGCCACGTTTTTGGCTTTAATATAGATGATATTTCTTCTCCTTCCCCTAATTAAAAAAAAAAAAAAAAAAAAAAAAAAAAAAAAAAAAAAAAAAAAAAAAAAAAAAAAAAAAAAAAAAAAAAAAAAAAAAAAAAAAAAAAAAAAAAAAAAAAAAAAAAAAAAAAAAAAAAAAAAAAAAAAAAAAAAAAAAAAAAAAAAAAAAAAAAAAAAAAAAAAAAAAAAAAAAAAAAAAAAAAAAAAAAAAAATCTCAGATTTTATGTCCACTAAGTATTTTATATAGTATTAAGCTAAAGGAAAAAGCAAACAAAGGCTGTCAGTGGCTATGTCAGAAACTATTAAAGTACAAAAAAATCCCAGTCTTTCAGACTGTGTGGGAATCAGATGTCCTAGCTGATCAGTATTCCACTGAAATTCAATATTCAATCACACTTCAGTACAGTGTGTAAGACACTTTCCGCATGCACTTGTTAGTTTTACACCATCCTCAAACACGCACTAATGCTGTTAGATGCAACTTAGTGCAGGACTTCTCCACTGCTGCCTAACACACCAAAACCAATGATGTTCTCTACCCAGCACACATCTATATCATCATGGAGAACTGACCAAAAAAGCATTTACCAGTTGTCCCCTCCTTTGGGATAACCACCCTTCTTTCTCCCCGCAACAGTTAGAGTTATGGTTAGGAAATGCTGCTTTCCTCTTTGTTTCGTTGCTCGTTTTCTCTCCATAACACACTTTCTGAAAGCAGTTTCATCTTTCGCACTGATTAAATGCAGTTGGACAGCAAGGAGTGGCTGTGATTAAGCGCACTGCTCAACAGCTGTTCTTGGACAGCTTTGGCAAGGCTCTCTAGGCTAGCTGGAGGGAAGAGCAAGAGGCGAAGCAGAACCGGGAGACTGACTTGCACTGAAGAGAAAAGAGTTACAAACCATCTAAATCCAAGTTTAGGCTGAACAAGGGCTTTATATGCTTTATCCATCCTTCTCAAGAAACCCTTTATGTAAACTGAATTAATCATGCATGATAAAAATAAATGAGGCTATGTCTGAAACATGGTAACTGGAGAGACAGAGACGAGATGAGAAACAAAAGCCAGACAGAAATAGAACTGCAGATTAAAAAAGGCACAAGGTTTAATTAAACAGCTTATCATGGGACATAGTGTCTTGCTGTTGCTGAAATCAATGTTAACCATCTATGTTCATCTCTCTGGGGCCTTTTAATCACTGTCGCTTGTAGAGAGAAAAAAAATAAAACCGTAACACACTAACTGGCTGAATACACTCTTAGTGTAGGTTTGCTGAAGTCAGAGACGCCACACCAAGAGTTCATCTGCCACCAGTATCTGGGAAGATCACCACTGTTCTATGACAAGAGTTTTGACACATACAACGGCCATATAACCTCCTCTCAGGACTGCAAATTAAATTTACTGTCCCATGGTAATTTTACATTGAGGAGAAGGGAAAGAGAGCAGCTAATAAGATTTCTCAATTATTTCAAGCATGAAAATCTTTAATCCCCTTTTAAAACGGAAACAAGTGCACTGTGGGAGGAAAGAAATGGGGGACACACAAAAGTTCTGTCTCAAATAAAGAGTATTTTGCTTTGACCAGGTAGCTGCCCAGACTTGGTTTCTGACTCTGAAAAAAAGGCGTATACTCAGAGCCATGTCTGGTTTTTTACTGGCATTTTTTTTACTATTGGGAGCCTTTTCTCTTCTGCGGTCTCAGCTGGCAGAACTAAATACTTGGTTGTCTCCTGCTGCTTCAGTCCTTTTTTCTATTTTCCAAACTACTACACACAAGCTTAAAGAAGCATGAGAATGAAATACAACTTCACATAGACAGCAGTACAAAGTGTTACCAGCTGGGCACAAAAGAGAATTTGTTAAAAATGAAATACTGCTCCACTGACCACCCAGAGCAGCTAGCATGATTCCTACTATTTAGGATAACACCCTGTGACAGCTCTTCTTCTAAAAGCCTCTCATCTTCTCAGCTACCAAAATAGTTTGGATTATTTCACGTTTCTACCAGCTCACTTAATACAAGCATGAAAAGACCTATCAGACCTACATTGTTTCCTTCAGCCTCACCGTTTCATTTCCTATGCATTGGATCGAGTTCAAAAGACATTAAAATCAGATCAAGCTCTGAGGCTAGGAACTGTTGAAAGGTGGAATGAATGGGCCAAGTGTCATCTCTTTTATTCGTTAGCCACCTAAAACGCTGGCTACACAGCTACAGAAGGTGAATGGAAGGAATGCTATGAAAGGTGAAGAGCGAAATATTTACTAAGAAGGGTACAGTAAGAGCACTCATTCAGAAAACTGAGATGCTTTGACGGAGTAGAAATCTCCCTCTCAAAAAATTTTGTATTTCACTCTGGACTCCATTATACCTTCCAATACTTCAGGATGGGTCAGTGCTATGGATGTATTTAGCATGTCTTGCAATATGAAGATACACCCCATGATATTAAAAACAGGCTGGAAAGGGATCTTAAGTTACCTAGTCCACTTCTTTCTCTTCCTCTAGAGCATGATCAACTACATCTATGTGAATCATGTTTAACATTTATCCAAACTGTTCTCAAACATCTCCAGTTATGGAGATTCCCCAGCCTTCACAACTGCTCTGCTCTAGGGCTTCACATTTTCATACCCATAAAAAAAAAAAAAAAAAAGATCGCAATCTTTTATTAAAGATAAGTCCTTTGATCTCATCCCATCCACTGAAAATATGCGTAAAAGACTGGTCCGTAACTCTGCGTAGTAGCTTTTTTACATACTTGAAGACCTGAAGCTCTTCCTCCTGCCTTTTTCTTTAGACTCATTAGTCCCAACTCTTTATCTTGCCTTCTAAGTTATGTTTGGTAGACGTCTAATCAGTCTTTTTTCTTCTTGCCCCTGGAACTCTTCCAATGGCCCACTAATTTGCTAAAATTCTGTACTCAAAACTGGATGCGGTATCTGATAGAGGCCTTACGAGTGCTGAGTAAAGCATGAGGACTTTGTGTCCTGCAGCTCAGCATCCTATTTCTACAAGCCAACACAGGGCTGCTTCCCCTCCCTTCATAATTGCATCACACTGCTAAAATAATAAACAGCTTGTGAACCTCTATAGCTTCTAGATCATCTTCTCAAAAACTGTTCAATATTCTCACTGTTTCCATTAGTAGTTAACTATCTCCACCTATTCACATTAGCTCAAACGTGTTCCTATTAAATTGCATGGTATTTTGCCAATTAATTTATTCCATTTGCCAAGACGATTCTGAATTCTAATTCCGCTTTCCAATATAGTTTTCAGATGACATGAAGCCGGGAAGGATGTCTGCTTTATAAACATACCATCTATTGGATCATCCCGGTCATTACTAAAAAGCAACATGCAACAGTGGAGCCAACAATCAAAAGTTACAATTCTAGCGCAAAAAGCCAGGGTGGAGAAGAAAAAAGCTAATCATTAAGTTATTCTCTGTTGTTAAGGCATTTCCAATTATGTCATAAAACAGGATGCAAGGAAAGAAGCTCATCTGGACAATACTCAACCACTTACTATCAAGGCTAAGGATTTTTAGCTCTTTCAAAGTATACCTCTGAGGAGGTCAGAAAGAGTATTGAGTTGTGGATAAAGGATTTCATTCCTGATATTCTCCCTGTATAACAGCTTAGCACTTCTAACCAAAACATTTATTTTAAAAGAATCAACTGTCTGAATATATTAATGGAGAAAATAAAAGAATGGTTTTACTTGGCTGTTGATTAGTATGATATGTTTGCTATTTGTTGTCTTTTCTTAATCACAATAGTGGATACACATGAACAGAAAAATGTTCAGCAACAGCATAATAAGTAATACAGTGCTAAACATTTTTACCACTTAATTAACACTATTTTAAATTACTTGATATTTTTAATGTTTCTCAATTTGGAATTACAGCTCAGTTTGGGACATGCTTCATATTCGACTGAGGAGTTCCACTGCTCCATCTGGCTAACCACATCAACAGCACCTAAAATCCCTAAACCTGTTTCACTCCATCTCTGTAAGACATTCATACATACTTCAAGCTTCTAGGCTGAGAAAACAGAGTCAATTTTAAACCCCAAATGGACGGCAGCTAATGAATTTTCAAGATACAAAGTGAGAGATTACTTCAGATTCAGCAAGAGTGTTAAGATTTCACTGGTCTTCTGCCTGTTACTGTTCCTTAATCATTTTTATTTTGTATTTATAAACAGATTAAAATTTTTCACTTCTTAATGTATTTGACAAATCAAAACATGTAACACAAACATTAAAAAAAGCTATTCTGCTAATTCACACACTTTTAAAAAGTGCACAAACAGTCAATTTCTTCCTTGGACATACAATACATAGCACAAGTAACTTCAGGGAGTCTCCCAGTTTTCAGTTTGTTTTTCTTGTCAAAGAAAAGTCTAACAAAAAATTTATACACTAATGTGAGAACTGAAAACTGCTTTAAAAACAACACTACGCTCACTAACCAACCTTAAAACTTAATTTGTCAGGAAAATATTTAAAAGTGTTCTCCATTCCTCTTTCTTTTAACTTATAACTCCTGTTGAACAGGTTGTTGGTAAGACTCCTCCTCATGTCAGATTGGAAGACAATCCTGAGGGCATTTCACTTGGCCAACTTGCTTAGCAATTCTCACATGATACATGAAGTATTACAGGAGGGGCAACAGGAGACCATCTGTGCTATTCACCAGTAAATAGTACATCACAAACAACTAAAGAGAGGCAATGGTTGTGCATAGCAGCAATGGATTGCATCACCTCCATTTGAAGTGAAGCACAATCCAGCCAGGCTGCGTGCACACAGCTTGACGTCTCAGCCAACAATCAGGGAAATCAGAGAGAGCATGTCTTTTGGGTGTGACAGATTACCCAAACTCTTAAGAACACATAAAAAATGAACTAAACTGTTTGCTAGTATACACAACACTTTTTTTGTAAATCACTAAATAGCTAAGGAAGAATGCAAAGAATAAAATAGCAAAACAAGAGTCAGCCATCAAAAGACACTTTTTTTGCTCTAACCAACCAATTTTTCCCCACAGATATCCTTAGAAGAAACCACCACCAAAAATACAGACCAACTTCAGTACAAATGCACAAAGTCAAAACAGGCTATTTTTGACAAATACAAGAGCAACCCTAAGCACCTTATACTTCCCTTCTTCTGTCTTCCTCTTCTTTACATGGAAAAATTAAAACCATAGTGTTTAAGTGACATGTAAAAATACAGAAAACTAACTCTCTTTTAGATGACGATGGGAATGGTCAAAATATTACTCTGAGAACCTATTCACTTAGCTGCCCTGTAATATACTGATTATTTACCTGCGTAGTTTGAGTGGCTCATCAGAACAATTTTACCCAATGAGGTAACAGGCCAGAAATCCCTAACCGCGTTTTGAAGTAATTTGCTACACTGCTTCTATGTTTTAACTCATTCTTCTGTTTGACAAACTTCTATTATCCATCTCTACCTCCCTCCAAGCTCCTAACACTTCTTGCTTGCCAGAAATCTTCTTTCAATTCCAAAGTAACAGACGCATGTTTCATGTAAGAATTTTTACTCTTTTGATGCCTATCTTTCTTCCACCCATGAGAAACTCTGGCTATGTTATCCTTATGGGATAACCCAGCCAGAATCCATAGGCAGAGATGGAGGAAAGGAAACACTAGCACTAGTATCACATGATAGTGTTGTGGGTTACTTCTCTTTAATATGGTGGTTTCCATCAGCTTTCATGCAGAAAGGGAACACTCTTACTCTCTAACCCATGAACATCGGATAGTGTTTTTCCTTCACAAAAGTAACTGCGTGGCAACCACCAACCTCAAGCTAATTCAAAAAGCAGACGGCATGCTTTCAGAAAGGCTGAGACCGATATCAAGAAAAATTCTGTGCATGAGTATCAAGTTTTATAGAAAATAAAACTTTCTTTTTAAACTGGGTCAAAGCTTTGAACAATCTGCAGAAGAGAGGGGACCAAAATGGTTTCAGTTTGGAACAAACATAATTCCTTCATGACCGATTAGATTTAAACAACCACCCCTGCTCCCCCCAAGGTATCAAGATATTTTCTCTATTGCATACAGCTATTTTTAAGAGATTGAGTATTTCCACACCTCCTCTCTGAAGGTAGTAAGGACTAATCTTGGGCGCTATCTCACACTAAGAGATGAGTACTTTGCTCTCAGAACAGAGCAACACCTGAGAAACTTACCTTATCACTGTCTAGCGTGTTCTGTGAGGTTCGTGAGGCAATTGAAATAGTATCAGGTTGGCTGCTACCATCTCCCTGACTGTCCAGGTCCTCGCCGTCTCTGCAAATAATTCAGTTTTCATTACAATATTAGCACTGTGTTTGTAACATGTTAGTTCCCTAATTGCAACTCTAAAGAAGGGGCACCTAGACAGTGTGGCAATGGACCCCAGTCAAACTAACTGATGCAAAAATCAAATATTCAGCACTTAATACTTTGTTCCACACTTTAAGAGAACAGATTCATTTGCTCAAGGTTTACATCATGTAGAACTAAGGCAACAACCAACCAGCCAGAACTATGGCAAGAAACTTGCACAACCACTTAGCCAAAGCTAGCAAGCAGGCTACTCAGTCACACATTTTAAGCTCCGTGAAAGGAAACCAAGGACCTGAATAACACATGCAGAATTGTAAAAAATCTAAAAATGTACAGCTATCCTGTACTATAGTTCCAAATCCCTTCTGTAATGGCTGAATGTACACAAGTCAGGGACTGTTCAGAGCAGAAATCTCAACAAATTCAGCATTGCAGGAAACTGGAAATTAATTGTAAGATAAAGCTGGCCACAGTGACTCTTGGTTTTGCCTGATTCACTGAAAGTCATTAGAAATTCAACACTACAGAGGAAAGAGTGCTACTGTGTACTTAGAGATCTCTGATTATTTTAAATACTACTTACCTTCTTCCTTTTTGTTTTGTTGTTGGTGCGGTTTTGGGGATGTGAATTGGCTCTTTCAATGCTCCTTTCAGATGAATGGTCCTTTCTTGTATCACTTCCCGGATGTGTTTGATCCAGTCCTGTTTGTTCTCTATACTGGATGCCTTTGGTATGCAAAAGAAACAAAACCCCGACAATGGAGTACTATAGCTGAGAAGATCCACAAATACAGTCAGCTAATAAACATGAAGAGGAAGGCATAAAGAATGACTTTGTGAATCATTTTTAAAAACTGGAACAGAGAAAAGGAAATTCAAGCTAATTGTCTTCATTTTGAATCACCAACACTACTTTACACTTCTCAACATTATTAATATTGTTCTTTTAAAAACATTTTATTTTAGATTCGGATTCCTCTTTCATAACTTGAAGGCTAAAACCCTGCATGCATCTCATGCGAGACAGGGTGGATTGACTTACTTAAAGAATTACAGTAATAACACCTTGAACATTGGTATTTGGACTAGATGACCTTTCAAGGTCCCTTCCAACCCAAACTATTCTGTGATGCTATGCCATGATTTGTCTGTGGCATATCAGTTGCAGTCAGCTAGTGGCTGAAGTCTTCAAGCTATAGAAGTCCATGGGATCAAACCTCTTCCTACTCCTGTTTGTGAAAGCAAGTTTGTTTGATCCTTCAGTAGACCACACAGATTCCCCTCTGCTGTCAAGCCATGTGAATTAGGTATACATCACATCCTTTATACACAAAGGAAAATTATCTGTCAGCAGCTGTCCCTCTCAAAGCAGGAAAAGTCATCACTTGTTGCCTTCCCAACAAGTATGAACAACAACTACAAGACTGAGTATAGACTGTACAAGCATGTCTGCTAAAATTACCTTGAGAACAATTTTGTTGTCTGAAGTTGGTGTCCTTCCAGCCCATAGAGCAAACTTGCAGGGATCTCCTTCTACATGTTCTGTGACACCCAGTTCAGAAGTCTGGAATCAAGAAAAATGTTAGGATGACACTGCATTTTTTTCTCAGAAGCCACAAAGGGATGCTGATATTCTAAATAATTGAGCTCTGCTATTTAAAGAGCTTTTTTACTTTCAGAAGCTTAAGTCTAACTCATGTGATAGAAAGAAACCTTTATTTTGGTGGCAGTGGTGGGGTTTCTTCAAAAAAGGAAGAACTTCAAGCTAAACATTTTTTCCTGTAAAGTAACAATAAACAATAGCATTTATAATCTGAAATACCAAATTGCTTATTTTACATTTTTGACTTGACAATAAAAGCCTCGTAACTCTAAAAAAAGGTGCTTGGTAAAAAATAAGTGTTGGCTTCTCTCCTTGTTGGTTTCCATCAGGGAACACTCATTACGTATTGATTTTTATGTCTTCTCTCGGATAAGATATGCTTAAGAATTCTCTTGATACCTTCTAAAACTGTGATCTCTTTTCTGCCAAGAGCCTTTCCTAGTGTGTTTCCTTCCCTCTGAAACAGATGAAATAATTCAGAAATGCAGTTTCCCTGGAGAATTTTGTGGGACAACTACATTCCCAAAGACTGATTGTTAATGTTCTAATGTCGGACCTTAATAGCTAATTATCATCCAAAATGTTTTCACTTTCCAACTGGAACAACATCTCAATCATGTGAACTGGCTTCCAGTTAAACAATTCATATAGGCTCTGCTCAAAAAAAAAATGACAAACTAAGAAATATAGCTCAAACCAGAACAACCCTCACTCCAAAAGACAGCTGCTAAGCATTCTTGCATTATTAGAAGCTGTATTTTTCCCCTCATATGCATCACCACTAGCACATACACAGCTTATTACAAGAGATGTTGGATACACAGTACCTGAGTAGAGGTAATTTTTTCTTGTCTCACTTGGATGCCAACTTGTTTTCTTTTGGGTTTTTTTCCCCCCTAAAAAAACCCCCAACCCAACACATCCACCCTTTCAGCTTTGTCATCTTTTTTTGTAAAATGGACTCTTCTTCACTGAAATACTTAAAAGTCTGTGATGCGTTTTAAACTTGACTCACCAACAACTCCTATATGTGTTAAAAAGCTCATAAAATACTTAATCCAACATTACATTATGTAACTCAAAGAAAATATACCCTACTGCACTGCCCAATATAAAGTCTGAATGGGCAAGATAGTACAGTTTTTAATGTTGTTTATTTTTTAAAGCCTAGTAAATTTAGAAGTCTTGATACACTTGTGAATATTATTAATTTTACAAGGGGCAACTGAGGGGCAATGGAGTAGAGGTCTGTACAGTAAGGAGTGGCAAAGCCAACATACGTTGTTCACTGTCCCTTTCAATACTGGTAGGCATCAAGTGAAACTAGTGGGAGGGAGTCAGGTTCAAAACCCAACACATGGAGGTTGGCCTGTGCCCAATATGTAGTTGAGCAATTCAACTCTTTGCCAAAGGACACTGTAAATGCTAAAAGTCTGCATGAGGTCCAAGGACCAGCTCATGGAAGAGAAATCCATTGCAGGTTACTGAATGCATAGAAACCACATTCAGGTGAGGAAGCCCCTGAACTTCCAGTTACTGGTCACTGGGAGAGTATTCTGGCAAAGTAACACCTGCTTGCCTTGTTCCCATAGCCCTCCTTAGGCATTTGCTTTTGGACACTTTATCTCTTGCCAAAGGAGTTCATTAACACATTCTTCCACTAATACAAGTCATGCCATTGAGTATCCTGTGCTGGAGAAACCATGATGGTCATCATGCCCGAAGTAAAGTGAAGGACCTCACTTTTGTAACACCACCTTCCAGAGGCAGGAGACAGGATAATGTGCAAAAAGGATCTTTAGCTCAAATCAACACGCATACTTTCAACATCTGTATGAATGCCTTTTCTACAGATCAGACTTAAGAATTGCTATAATAGTAAGCTGCACTACAGGATATTTTGCCAAGTAGAATATGAAGACAAAAAGATAGGCTTATATTTTAAACATGAGGCACAATGATTTCCAGCAACTTCCCTAGGACCCAAGGCTATTACTAAATTCTTGCCAGAGGAACTGACACAACAAGCTTACAGGACCCATTTTTCAGCTCTGTCACCCCTACCATGTAATGCCTTGGCAGCTGATGTTACCCTCCAGTACACCAGAAGTTTTTTGTATTTCAAGTTCTTGAGAGCACCAAAGAAAGGTGTGATCAACAAAACAGCTGCAGCTGTGTTACCTGCTAGCTACCTCATATCAGGAAGGAGACCAAGTGTTGGAAATGAAGTGACAGAATATGCAAAGTAAGATAGGAAAAAAAAAGTTTTTTTGAACCAACCTGCTTTACCAGTCTGGACACAGAGGTGGGAAGGGGGAAAAGAACGAAGGAAAAGGAGCTGAAGCAGGGAGAAAAGGCTCAGTATTTATACCATCTAGGCTTAGTCATATATCCCAATAGGATCACCAGAAGAATAATGTCTTTTAGAGCGTGATTCTGAGAAGTAATTTCAAGTACTTGTTCTAAACTGTCTAGAAGACAAGCTAATCTTGCCTCCAACAGATGCAGAGCAAGCCATGGGAGACTGTCTTCTCACTTGGCTACCTAAATTTATGGAGTGTGAATACTGCTCTCACCCAAGCCATCCAATGAGACAGGAAGGGAAGCATATGAATTCCAGGGTCACATTTTGTAAAGCATACATGCTACAAACAAGGAAAGAAAGAGCGGATTTTTTTTTTTTTTTAAATGGGGAGAAAAACATTTCCATCTTTACATCCTTTCAGTAGACCATAAAAGCTATCATTTTATTTACAAAATATTATTGTAAGACTACTAGTCCCAGTAGACATTCTGGAATGAACTTTTCTATAACAAGTGGAGTTCTTGCCTTTCCAGATCAGGATGTGTAGAATATCCACCAAAATGAATCCTTAACATGGATATTACTACAACAGCAATAGTAAACAAGCAAGATGAAGGCAGCTTGTCAACTCCTTCTATCCTTCTGCTTTATACAAACGAGCCTTAAAGAACCAGCAATCACACACACAATTAACACAAAATCAGTCCAGCCCAGTCTTGATTTTCCTTTGTCCTGACACACCAAGATTGACATGTAGCCTTCAGTAGTTGCTTTCAGCCTACTCTTTCTCCTCAGAAGCATGACAAAGCAGCAACCTTATAAGATTCAGTCTACGCATTCCAAGGCTGTTCTTTCAGTGCACTATAATAGTTGTTCAAGTTCTTCAGGCACATTTAAATCATCTGAGCTTAGTCACAGTCTAATCTAGACAGTTTTCTAAATATGAACACTTGTTCTCCCATACTTACGAACAGTTTACTCTTGTAAATGTACTTGCTCCTTCCACTGGAGTCCTTTACTTCTTTACTGAAAACCAAGGACATCTCAAAAAGGAAAAGGTGCCTCTCTCTTCCCTTTCGAATTAGAGTTTTGGGGTCCCACACTTGGAAGGATTCTTGAAGGATGAGCTCTCCCTGAGATTCTATATTTTCATCAAAGCCTAAAAACCCAGGGAGAGGAAAGGTTCACCATGAAAAGTTGATAATGTGAGGAAATTAAAAAGCACAGCTTCTGTTTATTAAGCGAGCCGATTTTTTTTTTCCAAATACAGCTTGCAAAAGATGGGATTCCAAGGAAGCAATACTAAAAGCAAGACTTGATTTCAACATTGTAATATTCTACATGTAACTGTAGCTCAAGTCTATGTCTAAGTTTAGAGATCCAACTGTTAAGAAGTTTATCAACTCTTCTGGCAGTATTTCACCAACAAATATCAGATCTCTCTATGTCAGCTTCCGGTAACCTCTTCCGTGATGAAAATTATTTCCCTTATAAGCTTTCTACGACTGTAGAAAGTGAGCAACCTGCAAGGACACAGAGAGCACATCAGGTTGTTCTGACTTCGGCAAGCTCCCAAGTGCCACCTTTTCTGGTGGTACACTCTCCCTACCACGTATGCAATGAGCACGCAAACATGTTCCAATAGAGGATGAAAAAAGATGGCAGCCTGGAGCTGTTGCCATGTGATCAGCCTGCCATTGAGTCACTCCAACACTGATCCACAATAAAGAAATAAGCAGCTGATTACTTACCTTGAGACATAATGTAAAGATGAAGACTGAGAATATCAACAATTTTACTTCCATTATAGTGGTACAGTGTTCTCCCAGTTTAATACACAGCTTTAGAGTTGCAGGATAACAGAAATTAGTCTACCGTACTCTTCTGAGTGGTATTAAACTGCATTTTAAATACATACTGCTTGCCAATATTCTCTGAACAGAAGAGCACCATCCTTCTCAAGAAAACAACAGTTCTCACTGTTCTAAACAGGGCAACAGTATGGAGAGCATCAGAGGCAAGCTGCATCAGGATGTTCATTCAAAATCCTCCAGAGACATAAAGAGGAAATGTGCTCACTCATTATTTTTTGTCTAACATGGGATGACTCAATGATACACACATGATTTGTTATAAAACCAACTTATGTAAAAGATTAGGATATTCTCCAGAGTCACACTCCCAGTGTTAAAAGATTATTACCAATGCTGGTCAGCATTTATACTAACACCATCTCCTGAACAAAGCATTTGGAACTGATCCTGCAAACTGACCAACATTGCTATTGTTTAAAATCAGGGAAGGAAGGTGATTTTGAGCATTCACATGATCAAGGATCACATGTCAAACCAAGATGAGTTTTATAGTAACTTGCATGATACTGGAAATTCCATGACAAGCTCCATTTTACTACTAGAAGGCAGAGATGAGGAAAAGGAATATTGACTAAAAGCACCTATAAGTCTTTATTCAGCAGCTGCAAGGTAAGGCGGCTCTGCTTTTATCTCAAAAAATTTAAATGCCAAAGAAAAACACCTTTATTACTAAATGTATGATGGCACCATCATACATGATAACGTGCCAATTACAAAACAGATTTTGGCAGAAAGTTGTTCTAAGCACATAGAAACAATTACATCCAACCTCCACTGTCTGCCATGAACATGATTATGCTATTCTGGCTAAGGCTCAAGCTAAATTGGCTTATGCTGACATTTTACTGCCAGAATAGACATTTCATTTCAACCAGAAGTCTGTTATGGAACAGGCAGCAAACAGATGTGAAAACGACAAACTTCTTGGAGGCAATTATTTGATATATAAATCAGCAAAATCACCTCTGATACACTTATGCTCCTCATATAAAGAAGCCAAGGACACTGGTTGGAAAATGTAGCCGAAGCTATTGTATCTGACCATTCACCCATTACATTTTAGATGAGTAGTGGAAAACTTTATTAGCCTACATATTTTTCAAATCTGCAGTGGCAGAGCTATAGATCAGGATGAAAGAACATTTGAAAAATTAACAAAACTGTCCAGTTGTCTGTCACAATTCGTTTTCCTAAATAAGTTTGCATTTTATATACCTCCAAATAAAAGGCATATAAAATACAAACCCAGAGATAAGAAAATGTTCCCATTCTTCAGATCTTCTCAACATATAGCAATATAAAAGGTTATTAAACAAAGTTAACCTACAGCATATGGCTGAATTGGAAAGCCAGTTTGAATCCTACCTTCCAGCATGCTGAGGTGCATGGCATCATTGGCTCGCTTTGGCACACTAAGCATCACCTCCAGGCCATCCTTAATCTCACCTTTACCTTCTTCACAGCATGTGAGCAGCTCCTGCAAAAGACGAGCGGACATGAGTACTCTCTATCATATGTGTTTCTACACTAATATGATAGACAACCAAATACTACTTCTAACAAGCAAAGAATCATTTTTGGCATGTAAAATCTTTTTGAACTTCTTACTCTGCCAGTGACATGACAGCATACTTTGTATTTATCATGAGCTCTTCTTCAGGGACCAGCCCAAGCTTTCAGTTAACCACCTCTAATTTAAACAAGATCATCTGCTTAATAAGAAATCTTTAAAAGGTACATTAAGGACAACATTTTTTCTGATAAGCACAGACACAGCTATCAGATGCAGTGCTACATCAACACCCAGAACAACACAGCTGCCAAGTCATGAAGATGGTGGAAAGCAGGACAGCACAAAAGGACTGCCCCCCCATGTCAGTCTTTGCTCCACTGCACCAAAGACCTGCTCTGTACTACTGCTGATCAGAGGATTTACATTGTTTCATTTCAAGTATTCAACGAATTACTCTATTCTGTGTTCACACAGTTAAAAGCATCCTACAGACACAACTTTTGAATACAAACAAGCATTAGCTAATGGACAGAAGTTCGAGAATGGAATATGCTGAAACGTTGTAGTGGAATTTAGGGTGATGAAGTTCCCTGCCCATTCAACATCCCACAGATATTAACATAACAGCACCTGAGCTGATACTCAAATTCCCTCACATCCTTTGAGCATTTGAACAGCATCAAGATAAAATGTAGCTTATGTAACCAAAAGGGCATATTATGTTCCTTCTATTATTCAAAAGGCCCACTTAATTCATTCCCTCAGGTTAAATTCCCTTTTCCTTTTTAAAGAGAAAGCCAGGTGATTCCTACTATTATCATCATTACACTATTTCTATTTAACTGCCAATACCACCATCACAGAAAAACACTACATCATAACACTTAAATTTTGCATGACAACTCCACAGAAAAGTGAGTGTAACTAAATATCCTCCAGGAGGCACAGAAGATGAGCAGCTTCAATACCATTTGGAAAAATAAGCAGAACTTCGAGAACCGTAAAATGTTTCAGCCATCATTCAAGTTTTGGGCTCTCCATCTTTACATGGTTTACATCTCTTTTCTTACAGGAGAGAAAAAAAAAAGAAAACGAAAACCCAGCAACTACCACATAAATCCATTTTACTATGCAGCAAAGCCATCTGGCTCTGCAAAGACTGGTGAAACCGATCTGTCCCATCACTTCAATAATGTATCGGCTAAGGCATATTTAGATTTTTAAAAAATAATTCTTGGAATCAATACCCCAAAAATTCTGAAACAGCACAGCCTAGAGTCTTTCTGTAAGTTGTAACTTAATCAAGTTGCACCCTTTTGCAAGGTGAGAACAGACAATATGTTTTGGTTAAAAATGACAGACTTGTTTCCATCCAACTTGACCTGCAATAGCCTGCAATGTCTTTCAGAAATTTTAAAAACAATCATCCATGGCAGTTCTCAAGTAGAAAGGGGAGACACAGATCAGTTACAGTGCTTTTGTAGGCAGCTGTTACAAAACAAGCAATGCCACCTAACAGAGACCCAGCACAGTTCAAGAACACTGCTGCTCAGTCAAAAAGGTATCTGCCCACTGAGTGAAAGCTCTAACTACAGGTTTCCAAAAGTTTTGTTTATTTTAACAGCTACTTTTTACTTGACATTTCCAGGCAACATTACAAGTAAGAACTGTTTGTGCAACAGCTCTACAGGTACTCAATGTGGGTGTACATATACACATATATATTTTCATATTTTATAGATATAATATAGTTTTATATATTAAAAAATATAAAAAAGTTACATATTTTACAGTACTTAATACCATAAACATAGCTAATGGCTTGCCAAAATTTGTTGCAGAAACCATTACAAAAGTGCGCTTGTCTATATAGCCATGAATTACTTTTTTACTCTGGAAATGCAAATTACATTTTCTAAGTAAACATTAGTAGAGAGGTATCTTTTTTGATTTACAGGAATCTGGACAAAATGTTGCTTATTTATGCCTTCTTTCATTTTCAGTGGTCTCCTAAAAAATATCACAGCAATATTTGAGGCTGCCCAGGATGCTGTAGTCTCAGAGTGCCGAGTGAAAAAAGCCCTCCTGATTTCAGCAAGAGCTTTGTCTTCTTAAGAACAGCAGAATCAGATGAAGAACTTTGAATTAATACTGACCTTTAAAAGAAGCTGATATTTTGTTATCCTTTGGACAGGTTTGATAAGGTAAGAGGAGATAGAGTTGGCCAGTCCATGTCGTTGTTGTATCTCCTACATGAAAAACACATTTGAGGACTGTGAGCACCAACACTCAGATATAGACTGCTTTGAGGGCTATGAATAATATACATTAACTACAAATTCTATTTTAGCAAGGAGAAATAAAAAAAAGACAGGATGTGATATTCCAGCCACAGCAAATGGTTATGTTGTGCATCTGCCTGCTCACTTTGTATAAGCAAAAGATTATTACCTCCAAGGGTACCTGTGAAGCATTTCAACAAACCTAAATATAAATAGCAACGATTAGGGATATCGAACACGTAGCAATGCCTTTTTTAAAAAATTAAAATCTGTATTTCTTTTGTTATTCGCAAGAGAGAAAGGAAAACAAACTTCAGTGTTCTGGGGAACAGCCAGGACTATCACAGGAAGGCTGAGGTTGAGGTTTCTTAGCATCACCTGCTAGTTTAACAGTTAATAGTCACAGAAAGCATTTTCCCCCACAAGGGGGAGCACGAAGTAACATTTTCTAACTAAAGGAAAGCGGTTACCAAACACTTAAAAAGAAAACAGCCACTTACAAACAAAAAAAGAATGACCTCCACAAAGCTAAAGGAGGAAAACAGAATTAGATGATAATTAGATGGGATAATTACAGATTTCAAGTACTGATCATGGTTGAACTTCACGGCCAGTGTTTGCCATTTATCACAGTATCAGATATAGTTTAACCACACAATTTCAAACAGCAAGTTATGCACCGCAGCTATGTGCTTTCTAACCATGATTACAGTATCAGAAATTCCCAAGATGGGATACACACGACATCTGCACATGGTCCAGTGGTGGACAACGGAAGCTCTTGAAGTTACCTGTGCATAGAATTAGGTCTTCACACTTCTAATCCACTTTAGTGGATCAGGGGATGGAGAGCTCTGGATACGCCAGTTAAGACAGAGGGATCAAAGAAGGTGGTAGCAAGAACATATTTCTAATATAGTTTTATCAGAGCCCTTTGTTTAAAATAGTATTTACTAAATTTTATTTGAAATTTTTTTTGTCACATCTGCCCGATTTCCTGTAACTTATCTGCTCTTCTTCAAGCACTGAAAACTTAACAGAGGCTTCACAAAAAGGCTTTACCTTACAATGTTTAGAATCCCCATCTCCTCAGTGATAGACTTTTGAAATTAACCCAAAGAGCTTCAGGGATTTTTTGTTTGTTTGTTTTTTATTATGTCCTTCCCTCTTCTTCTACAAACAATTCTAAAAAAATTTGTGGTGTCACTACACAGCTGGTGGCTCAGCACAGTGGAGCAGGAAGCAAAAAGGGGTAGAGAGCACTGTAATTGAATCATCTGTAAATGCACGTTCAACCAAAGCACCCCAGCAAATGCACAAAGTCCTTCAGCATGGCCAAAATTCCCCAGCTAGTGCAGTTCCCTAAAACCTCGAAACAGCTGCTACCTTTTGGTCCTTTCTTAAGTGGAATATTACATGTAGACCAAGTAACCTAGGAACCGAATGAGCAAGGTGGGTGCTTTAGAGGCTCTGAACAATGCCAGTCAACTGAATTACCGCTACATTTGATTACAATTTAAAGGTGCTCCAACAAATTTAATGCAGATTTCCAGCTTTATTACATACAATGCAAACTAAGCACATCAAAATGCTAAGATTTGCAGAATGTGCTTGTGACAGCTGAAGATTTGTCTCAGCTGTTGCTGCCTGAACCTGCTTCCAGTTCTGAACTACTTTGATATGCGACAGCAACTTTTTACATTTGATTTGTCAGCTTTATGAGACCAACAGAGTAATATAAGTTAACCATGTGAGATATATGATTGATTTTCTTAAGCTGACACTAAATTGCAGCATTAGTACCAGGAAACTTGCATTTTCTTAAGAAATTTGGCACTCAGCATAACTGCAAGTACATGATTCAAACTGCCAAGGCATACTTTTAAAGATGGACACATAGTACTTACATCAAAGTATGCTCCTGCATGTTCCAATATCAGCTGGGTAGAATCTGGCTTATTTTTACAGTAAGTAACATACATTTGGAATTTGTCTGCCTGCAGAACAAAATGCAAATTTACACAGGTTATCAGAGAGCATAATTTCTGTCTCAATTAGTTTTTACACAGTTATCGGAGAGCATATCACTCTCTCAAGAAATTATACTATACAGAATTATTTTCCCATTCAAACTGGCAGCATAAGGAAATACATCAGGCAAGAAAGACTGAAAACAATAGCAACATATGTGAAAGTAAATTATTTGTAGCTAAGACAAAGATACCAAACCAAACCTGAACACAGGTTTAGGCAACTTGCATAACTTCAAGAGCAGCTAAGCACTAGCATCTGACAGCAGTGCCTTCATTTTTTTTTTCCCCAGTTAAAGATACACACGTTTTTACTCAAATTTGAAGGAAGAGGTACTTTTAAAAATTTTACAAATTAAAAAGGGACCTGAGAGCAAGAATCCATCCCTTCATGCTTCCTATCTCCCTTGTTACTTCTAAACGTAAGTCTGACTCCATTACCCATGTGACGAAGCAGTGTCCAACGTCTTCCGGTAACTGTTCATATTTTTCCAGCTCTTTGAGGAATATACTATGGGTAGAAAAGAAACAAACAGTATAAGGCACATGAAACATTTTCATTAGAGCAGCTGATATTGATCTATTGTCTGTGAATAAAGGTGGTTAGAAAACTTGCTGTAATTCATACCAACAGCATGAGTTAAAGAAATAAAGATAACAGGAATGGATAAAAATGTGTAATAAAAGAACTAATACAAAATGTAATTCAATACAAATTCTGATGTGAAGATCAGAAATTGATACAGCAGACATGCAGTTAACACATAAGAGTACATAAATTTAATAACTGCTGCTGTTCTCCATCAAGAAGGTTTCCTACTGTTTCAGTTTCAAGAAAAGTTTATCCTTCATCTCAGGAGAAAACGGAGGTGACTTGCTTTTTGGATACTCAAGTTAACACAAAGCATACAAAGGAATGTAAAATCAGGTTCTGGAATATGCTAGGTATATTCTATTACTTAAAAGAATCATAACCCAATACAAACGCCACTGAATTAACAAAGACAGAAGATTCAGAACAAGAATTCTGTATACACATCTGCCTAGGAACCATTCCACTCAGAAGAAACGTAATGGACAATCCACTTTCGTGCTCCATACTCAAGTAAATGTAACAATGGTGGGGCATCTCCACAGAAGCTTCGAAGAGCCAAGGAAGAGGAGGGAGCCCTAACTCTTTCCCACTAGCAGTCGCGCTTGGAAAGCAGGAATGAGGGTTCTGAAGGAATGACAGAGTCTTACATTGATGTTTGTGCTATACCTGTATTCTATTGAGTTCAGTGGTTTCCATCTCTTTAGGACAGCTGGAAAACCTACAGCAAAATTTTCATGTATCCAAATAATTTCTTAAAAGCTGAAAAATGTCTGAGACTGAAAATGACAGTTTCTAACGATGTACTTACCTGGCTGCAAAAAGCAACAACTGAATCAATTTAGCAATGCAAGAAGAAATCTTTTAGATTTCTTTATGGAAAAGCGTCCATTATTCATACGCACAATATTTTCACTAGGAAATCCCTGAAGTCATCATTTGGACTTAGCAGTAATATGGAAATGGAAGATAAGTCACTCACTTATTGTGGAACTCATAGATTTCCTGCATGTTTCCAAAGATAATGTGTTCTTTGTTTACAATACCAGGTGGGATCTCCTCGACTCCACTTGTCATTTCCCACAGATACGTCTGCCCAGAACAAAAGAGATGCATGAAAGTCATGATAAACTCTGAACAGAAGCACCCAGGTATCTGTAAGCATGCATTCCTGGAGAGAAATCGGGGAAAGATCACACAGCAGCATCCTCTCCAATTGTGATAGTACCTGTTGTGTCAAATATACCTTGTGATTTTGACAGTAAAATCCAAGTTCTAAAACTGACAATTTAACATAGTCCCCAAGACTTCATCATTTAAAACGCATAGTGTTCTTGACAACCTCTAATGCTTCAGGATATTCCTTATCAAGGTCCTGTCTGCAGTTTAGAAGTTCATGCTTTGTGCAACAGCTAACACTGAACATTACTTGCTTCAGCATAACAATTACTGGGCACTTTTCCATAGAATCTCTCTGAATTTCTATTCAAAAAGTCAGCTAGTAGCAGAACATGTGATACAGATAACAAGAGAATTAACACAAGCTCTTCTCTATTGCTAGCAAAGCAAATAAAGTAAACCCCTCCTTTTCCCCTCCCCTCTCTAGAACAAAAAAACCCACACGTTTATGAACTGGGAAAAGAGCAAATGCTGAAACTCAGTACTGACAAAAGCAAAACATATAGGGTGAATTCTGAAGTGGCTGTTATCAGATGTAATTCTAAGTTTCTTCTTAATAGCAAAAAAGATACTTAATTTGGTCCTATGACTGCAAACCAATCATGATTGGCTGTTAAAACCAGGAAGAAACAGAAAGCAACGGATTGAATCCTGTCTTCAAAGATTAGTGAAAAAAAGAAAACTTACATCCATGCATTCCCGGAGGTCTCTTACGTAAGCCTTTTCTGTCTGAATTAGCTCAGCCATAATGAACCTTAGGTGACAACAGAAAGAATAATCAAATCTCAGTCTGTTAGCTCATTATGAATGCATAATAACCAGAATACATCTTTCTCCTCATCAGCTTTTGCTTTTTCCACTGCTGCAAGAAAAATCTGAGAACTGAAACGTGGAGACAACAGATGAAGGAAACATAAGAGGTAACATTCCTCCACTACTAACCAGTGCAAAAAGAAATGGGGAAGGAGATGGAATTTTTTCTCAAATGCTTTTCACTTGCTACAGTCATTTAACTGTTGTCCTCCCTCTTCCCCTTACACATTTATTTCACATTATTTCTAAAAAGAAAAGAAGCATGTTAAAAGAAGTCTAACATAGTTTTGAAAGTTTAAGATTCTGACATCCTAGAATTATCTGTGAGAATAAGCATGTGAATAAAAGGCAATAGGAGCTCTTGAGTAATATTACTCTCTTTTTACCATTTATCCAATTTCTAAGCTGCCAGACAAGCCATGACAGTTGTTTCATTATCAGGATTGATTTATGCATTCTCATTGATTAAAAATAAATAAATTTATTACTCTTTCCTGCGGGCAGACTTTCGTTTTTCTTCGTTAAGCTCATGAGCAGCATCGCGCAGTTTCACCTCTGACCCAGGGACACTGGCTGGGATTATATCCAGCTGCAAGCTTTTGCTCTTTATTAAAGAAAGGAAGACTTGATTAAGGAAGAAGACAGGAGAAAATGATAGCTAAATCAAATGCAAGCAAAGCTTGTTTGTCTGTCATCACACTCAAATTTCTCTTACCGATTTATTGGAATCTGAGGAAATACCCAGAGCTTTCTCTAAAGAGGTCCTGTATTTCTCCATGCGCAGGGAAAAGTCTCTGTACCTCTTATCCACTGCTGTGACACATTTTTTAATCTCTGTTGCATGAGCATGCCCTTTTTCACAAAAGCCATCAGCCAGCTGTATCAACAACTTCACCCTCTCTTTGGTTTGCTACGAAAACAGGAAAATATCGAACAGTTACTAGCTTTACCTGTCATGAAGGGGGTCATTTTGCTTAACCTGCTACTAAGTGCAGTTGGAGAAGCTGTCAAAGGAGCTAGCTTCCTCCTCTCTCTTCCCAGAACTCCTTTAAACAGACACCTTTTTGTAATAAAAATAACACAAGATGAATATACGTTTCCTTGGGTTTTATTATTACATGACTAGAAGCAGGTTGTTTATTTTTCTTTCAAAAATGTGCTCCATATCTAACCCAGACATTAAATTCTGCTAGGCGAGCTTTTCGGAGCATGGGTATTCTCCTCGCATCAATAGAAAGGTGTTTTGTTCATGACCACTGAAGCACTGGTATTGGACCTGGCCCACAGCCTCAAGAATCTATCTCCTTTAGACATCATTGAAGTGTTGAGATGGAGGTTAAGTCTTGTTATACGCTTTACACTTTAACGGATTAAGACTATATTCTTTAGATCTTTTTTATATCATGTTATGTTGTCACACAGTTGTTTGAGAGAAACTAAGAAAACAAGTAGCCACCACCAAATCTGTAACTAAGTGCTTTTCCCAATTAACAAGCTGCCTAAGGCTATGCACTTTCTTTCATGTAAATCATAAATCATCCACAATGGATGAGTTTATACCTCCATCTCTCTCTCTCTCATGCCATGTCAGAGTAAAGGGTACTGTCAGGGCCCTTGGTAACAGGGAGTTAAGCAAAACAGTCAGTAAGAACTTGACTTTTTTATGTCAGTTTGTCCTTTCTTTTTCTTTCTGTTTTTTTTTTTTTACATTCTTTTTCTTTCCTAATGGTCCCTCATCTAAGCATTTCTTTTCACTATGGAATTAGTAAGGGCTAATACATCCTCCCAACAGGTAGCAAAATGCCAAGGGAGTGGCACTAACAACATCCTTTCAAAAGGGACACCCACGTCATCCACTGACTGACAGAGGAAACGTAGGGGCAGGGGTGCTCTGCATGCTGGAAGGGATCCAGCAGAAAAAAGGCTGGAGCAAAACTCAGAAGGAAAAAAATCTGGATTTGAAAAGCAAAAGTGATCTCTGTTCTTTCTGGATTCCCGTTTCTCCCTTCCCACATGTCCCATGACCAACTCCATCTCCAAGTCTCTTCTCTTCTGAGGTGGTCCTTCAGACAAATGAACACTTGCTTACTTTCTTGGGCTCTGTTATTTCTCTATGAAGACTGGAGAGCCAAGATGTGGAAACAGGTGACAGTTTGAACAGGTGACAAAACAAAACACAGAGACAGACAAGGTTACGTAAGCTCAGGTACTTCAGTCACGCACTGGTTGCCTGTCTTTCACACGTGAAAACTTTTAAGCCTCACAAGTGACATCTGCATCTCTGTATAGGCCTCCAGAGATGTAGAACAAAATAATGCTGCCGTGGCTCACTTACAGCAGAATCACAGCATACTTTAATAAAATGAGTAACCTAACAAGTAAAGCTTTAATTTTTCTACTGTCTTCTAATTAAATCACAGCTGAGTAATAATATGCCTTGCTGTATTTTATATCCTAAACGAACATGCAGTAATCCATAGACATGAGGATATAAAAGTGGAAATCAAAGGCCCTGCAAGGTTTGTAGGTTTTTTTAAAAAACATTTTTAAGCTACCTCACTACAGTTCTGTCATAAGAAATCAACTGCACATAGGGCTGATGAAGCTCCCATAACAGCGATTATCTTCTGATTATCTTTTGGTTTATTCTGTTCCCAGCAGAAATACAGAGAGAAAGCCACTGCAAGTGGCTTTGCAAGTAAACAAATCCTGATGGACACATCCTTGGGGTTTTTTTTGGGGGGAGGGGGGAATTTGGGTTGTTCTGGGTTTTTTAAAATCTTACATAATTTTATTTATTTTTTTCACCTTTGCTGTGATCTGAAATTCTTCATGTTCTTTTAACAGCTCTTGAGTGTGCTGGATACTGGAGCCAGTGGAAGTATGTGTGGATAAATAAAACTCTCCATTGTCATGAATCCATTCCAGAGCCTAAATAAAGCAATAATGAAGGAAAAGTAAGAGAGAAGGCAATATACTTTTGCCAATAGAAATCATCGGTAATCAGTATTTCACAAACACAGATTGGCCACAGGTAAATTTTATTCTATGCCACTTGTGGCAATCATCTAATACCTCTACAATATCAAAGAGTTTGTAACTCTGAAGTAATTCACTTAGTCTATGAAGCAATGCTTAAAGAATTAAAGAAAAACTACTGACACATGAATCTGAATGCTTCAGGGAAGTCCACTACTACAGGACTATAGTAGTCCACTATTAAAAAGGTTCTAACTGACTATGTCTACAGTTTTGTTAGTATACTCCCCAACTGAGCAGAAAAATCACTTTTTTGGTGCAATACAGGACAGCTGTACTCAGAAATACGCATTTTCCAACTTGTAAAAATGTACGTAAGACTGCCAAGTGTGTAGGCTAAACTTTCCAAGCACATAAGATTTAACTATCATTTCACTCTTTAGTTGACATGTATTCCAGTCTCACAAAGTATAGTTACATGTAATTCTAGAAATTATACCTAGAATATAGCAGCAGAGGAGGAATGGTGAGATGTACCAGTTAAACCAATGAATGTATGTATAGGTAGTAAAAGACAAGAACTAAGAACGGCAATCTAAAATTGTTTCCCTTCCACATCCTGGCACCTTACTCTCTCACTATTATGAACCATGCTGATCCAGGTTATTATCTGTGTTCTACCCATATTAATATTTGCTGCCCTTTTAAGCATAACTCAGTGGTTGCAAGGAATCCTACTCTCTTCTGGCTACTGGAAAAAAAAAAGAGTCATCTCAAACTGTCACATAACAGCAAAAATAAAAAATGTAACTGAAGACTGACATTATCAAGTTGTTTTGCAGCTCTTAATACAGGCTACTACAGCAGTATGCAGAGGCACATGAACTTAGAAACTTCTTGGTTCTGACAAAGTCAACACCAGATGTTCAAAGAGTTTAATACAGCTTGCTTAGAACTGTCTTGTTACTAAATGCATGTGTATCTTCTGAGTTTCAGTAAATATACACAGCACTAGCCAAAAATTTAATACCCCAAGAGAAAAAGTAGTAGATTGCTAGTGGGTCCTCATTCTTCCTTTTATGTCTCATACTTTCAGTTTACCCTTTTATCTATCCACATTACCAGGAACAGGAAAAGTTTTATCTTGGTGGACAGTAGATATGTATTTTTCAAGAGCATAACCTTACACTGAATCAGAAAAGGCATAGTCTGTATTATAATTCCACCATCAATTTAAGCTCATCAAGGCTGTGACTGAATAACTCGATTCTCTTCCTTCCACTTAGGATGCCTTTGCCTCTTGGTACAAAAACTAAAGTGAGTAGAAAGCCTTCAGAATTCAATACTGAATATGAATGCTAGGATGCCATTTACCTAGTCACAGACTAGTGCAGATGCGAGCCTGATGAGATGGGCCTGTACTTTTCAAGCACTGCTGATGGAAACAAACCAACAACTCTTGGACCAGTGTCAAGAAAAGGGACATTTCAGCCAACCACCTGTACGATGGCCCTTGTCACTCTAATGTCAATCTTTGCAAGTGAAGACTGATATGGACAAGCAGCATGGCTATCGCTGATATTACAAACAATATTTATTTTGATACTTCTCGCTTTTAACTTTTTAACCTCCACCTTTTTTTTTGTTATTATTACATTATTACACAATGCTGGAATAAATGATAAACAAAAAAAACCTTCCCCTCCCCAAATGTTGCCCCTTCATAACTTCTTGGCAGCTCTCTAGAGCCACCACAACATGACAGAAAGTTCATCTCGATGTTAATTCCTACACTTTAGATCAGCTCTCATTTCGCGTGAGGATCAGGATTGTATGTTGGAGACACATATCACCATACAAGAACTGGAGAAATCAACTTCGTGACCAGGTGAGCCCTTAACTCTGGAACGATTTGAGAGTCTACCATTTTCCTCGCAAACTACTATGGTATCTGCTCTCATAGCAGGGCATCAAGTTCTGAAAGCACAAAGAATGGGTTCTTCCAACTTCCAAACAAAAAATCTAAATGAAGACAGCAACATTTCCATTTTCTGGCTAATCAGTGTGGAGTCGGTTTTCGATGGCTGAACTGGTGATTGCTGAAAAATGGGATTTACAATGAAAATGCTGACAAGATCTTTATCTCCAGTGTTTGACTGTTAGTCAGTAATCTCTATACAAAAGCAAGTCAGTCATGTGCTTGGCAGAGGTTGGAGTTAAGGTTATTCAGAAGTGGGATGGGGGGCAGGGAAGGGGTGGTGGTGGTGTTTTAAAGAGGTATTAATCTTTAACTTCACTCCAAGATTTATCTCGCATTACTTTCTTTGTGAAATCATGAAAGACAGACTTTAGAAAACTTTCAAGAGATCAAAACCGACCACTAGTATTTAAGCCTTTGTCTACATTGGCTGTCAAAACATTAGGGTTTCTGAGTCCTTTAAAGTAGATCTAACTATATTTCACACTATGGGCGTTGTGTCCTTTTCTGCAGAACAGGAACAGATAGCTTCCTTTCTTTGTCCTATATCCAGTTAAAAAAAAAAAAAAAAAAAAAAAAAAAAAAAAAAAAAAAAAAAAAAAAAAAAAAAAAAAAAAAAAAAAAAAAAAAAAAAAAAAAAAAAAAAAAAAAAAAAAAAAAAAAAAAAAAAAAAAAAAAAAAAAAAAAAAAAAAAAAAAAAAAAAAAAAAAAAAAAAAAAAAAAAAAAAAAAAAAAAAAAAAAAAAAAAAAAAAAAAAAAAAAAAAAAAAAAGAGAAGTAAAAAACCATTGCAGATCATTCCAGTTACTGCCTTGGAACCCCCTACTTATTTTTATGGCTTGTGTTTTCATTAACGAAGTGGATTTTTTTGTGTGTGTGGTAGTTACTTAATAGTTCTTTCCAGACTGATAAATTCAACAAAATACAGAGAGGTGGATCTACCATGCAAGAAACCATGAAACGAAGTACAAGGAGAATTGCAAAAAACTTTCCAAAGTCATTCAGTTATTATTGTTTAATGAGTTATCCAACTTGTCAGTTTTCTAGAACTGCCAATCAACTTAATGAGATGTTTTTTCCCTCAACATCGGAGAAAAATGTTGCTGCCTGTTATTTCCCTGGTCAAATTAGGTGTTTGTGTAAAAGTTAACAAGCGTAACAATTTGTTCAAACACAAGCTTGCAGAAATGAGATTCACTGGTACCAGATCAAGCTGGCAGAAGCAAACCACTACCTTTAAGTTACAGCAGTAAAGACACCCTGCCTCTCAACAGATTTTGTTGTTCTGTATTAAAGGAAAAGCAAATAATTTAACTTACTTTCTATTTTAATCATTGATCTTTCAGACATTTGAAATATTGAAGTCAATGGCAAATTTGTTATTGTGGGACAGGTCAGTGTATGTCAAACCTCAATCACACTGAAGAGGATTTTTATATAAAACCATCACCTGTTTGGCACTTCTTTCAAACACCACATACTGTTGGCATTGATCAAGACGTCTTTTACGCATGGTCCAGTAATGCAGCACACGGTTCTCCCTCTGGAAGAGTTCATTCAAGATATCTGAAGAAATGAAAATAGTTTCAAGAGAGGTTATGACAATCAATTTTGAAACTACGTTAAAATCAGCGGAATAAAGTACTTTATATTGTAGAATTTATAATACACTTAGTCTTTCTCTTACTCTTTGTTTTGCTCTTTTTCCTGATATTCATGAAACAGAGTGTTCCTGTTTCATTATTCTTTACAGAAAGAATACTAGAGATGCAATTAAAACTTACTAGTAACACCTTTTTTCTCTCAAATATTTTTCATACGGGGTCTGCCACTGTTTATAACAGAATTGAAAATGTAGTCTGATAAAGATGGTTCTTGATGGGGTTTCCTCAGAAAGAACGAGCATGCACAAGTAATCACAACATGCTTAACATCTCATATTAATCATAATTAAAAAAAACAAACCCTTTTCTGACTATACCAGCCTCCTATAAAATATTTTAATAATTTAATACATATGGGCAAATACATAACCATAGGTCACTACAAGAACAAATGCAACATAAGCAGATATTAAATGTACAGAAACCCAAGGAATAAAAAAACCCACAAAATAAAGTTTGTAATTCCCCTTCAAAAAAAAAATCAAAACCAACAGCAGTATAATTGATTAAGTTGACATGTTCAAATATGAGTGTTCACTGAGCCTTGAGAGAATTTCCAGGTAATCAAATAATTAACTCCACAATTTGTTATTCCATTCCTGAGTATCAGAAACTGTTTGCCACTGGGAAGTCACATCCAAATTCCACCGTTAAACTGCAATTCCACATGTCTGGCTTATAAATTCTTCCTGGATGGCAAAGACCTTCTGCTTACAATATGCAGAAGATTTTATCTGAACTCTGCTTCTTTAATGTTTTTTGAGTTTTTTCTTCAAAGAAAGAAATCCTAGCAGTTTCTTGTGAAGTTCACTTTACCCACTGCTTCTTCCAGAGCAGCAACCCTACCAGACTTTGTAGCTACTGCAAACCCAGATGACAAGCTGAAATACATGGAAATGGGGACACCAGATGTCTCTGCCAGGTGATTCTGTTGAAAGTGTACTAGCAGTTTCTTGTGAAGTTCACTTTACCCACTGCTTCTTCCAGAGCAGCAACCCTACCAGACTTTGTAGCTACTGCAAACCCAGATGACAAGCTGAAATACATGGAAATGGGGACACCAGATGTCTCTGCCAGGTGATTCTGTTTAAAGTGTGGACTTGACGGCAGACGACTTTGGCCTGTTCAGGATGCTGGTTGAGAGAGTCCCGTGGG